GCTCGCCGGGCACCTCTCCCATGCTGCCCCTCTTCTTCCTTTTCTTATCCTTGTCCCTTCCTCCTCTACTACACAGCTATCACATTCCATGACTTTAAAAACCCGTAAAGTCTGTGGACCCCAGGGGACCCAACATTCCCGTCCTAACTACTTTACCCACGTTTGTTTTTGTTTTTGTTTTCCTTTTCAAAGTCAATCTCATTATTAATCCTTATTCTTACCTATTGTTTCCAGCTAGATTTTTGTCAGCTTGACACAAGTCAGGGTCATCTGGGAAGAGGAAACTTCAACTGAAAAAGTGTCTCCACCAGATCGGGCTGTAGACAAGTCTTGATTAGTGGTCGGTGTGAAAGGGTCCAGCCTACTCCACAGTGCCACAGGTGTCGTGACATGCCCACCACACAGGTGGTCCTGAGGTATGCAAATGAGCATGCTGAGCAGGCCGGGAGGAGCTAGCTGGCAAGCGGCACTCATCCATGGCTTCTGCTTCCGTTTCTGCCCCAGGTGCCTGCCCTGCTGGAGTTCCTTCTCAGATGCACTAAGATGTGGAAGTGTATAAAATAGCCCTTTCCTCACCAAGTTGCTTTTGGTCGTAGTGTTTTATCCCAACAATAGAAACCTTAACCCGCTCCCCTTCCACTCCTGATACTAACTAAAAATTGAATCCACTCTATTATCCTTGTTTATCGTCCAACAGTTACTGAAGCTGAAGGGACCACTGTTGCAATTGGCTAATACAAAATTTACAGAGGTAATGTTAGCTGTGGCCCCTCTCACAGCTAATATTCTACTCATGGAATAATAGTGCGCCAGGACTGAGAAACTATCTGAATTCCACATTCAATTCCACCTCTTTCAAAAATCAACTCCAAATAGATGGAGGATCTCAACCAACATAAAACCTGAAACTCTGCAACAGCTAACAGAAAAAGTAGAACATGCACTTCAAGATGTAGGCATAGGTAAGGATTTTCTGGATAGGACTCTCATGACTGCTCAGAAACAGGGCCAATTATCAACAAATAGGATCTTGTGAAATTAACAAGTCTTTGTGCAAGCTGGGTGGTGGTGGCCCATGCCTTTAGTTTCAGCACTCAGGAGGCAGACAGATCTCTGTGAGTTCAAAGCCATCCTGGCCTATAAAGCTACACAGAGAAACCCTGTCCAAAAAAAAAAAAAAAAGTATTTTCAAAACAATGGAAATTATCAAACGAGAAAACGGCCTATTGAATGAGGGAGAGCACCCTAGCCATCTATAAATCTCACAGAAAATCTAGAATACATGAAGAATTCAAGACACTAAACACCAAGAAAAACAAATGAGCAGGGAAAGAGAACAAGGAATTTTCAAGAGAAATACAAATGTCTAATAAGGATTTTAAAATGTGTTGAGCACCAGGCTTGGTGGTGCATGAATTTAATTCAATAGAAACAGGAGAATCTCTGTGATTTCAAGGCCAGCCTGGTCTATACAGTGAGTTCCAGGACAGCCAGAGCTACACAATGAGATTTGTGGAACATCATTGATCATCAGGGAAATTCAAATTAAAACTACTTAGATTCCATTTTACCCCGGCCAGAATGGCTATCATTAAGAAAACACATGACTGAGCTGGGCATTGGTGGCACACGCCTTTAATTCCAGCAATCAGGAGGCAGAGGCAGGTGAATCTCTGTGAGTTTGCGGCCAGCCTGGTCTACAGAGTGAGGTCCAGGGCAGCCAGGACTGTTTTCCACAAAGAACCCTATCTCAAAAAAAACAAACAAACAAACAAAAGAGAAATGACTGGCTGGAGAGATGCAGTTCCAGGATACCTAACACTCTCTTCTGACCTGTATTGCTACCCATGTGTGCACATACATACATACATACATAGAGACAAATCATACTTGTACACAATATAAAAATAAATAAAATCAGCTGGGCAGTGATGGTGCATGCCTTTGATCCCAGCACTCGGGAGGCAGAGGCAGGCGGATCTCTGTGAGTTGGAGACCAGCCGGTCTACAGAGCTAGTTCTAGGACAGGCTCCAAAGCAATAGAGAAACCCTGTCTTGGAAAAACCAATAAAACAAAACAAAAAAACTGACTGACCTCTAAGGGTTGGAGAGATGGTTCACTGGTTAGAGTACTGGCTGCTCTTCCAGAGGACCTAAGTTCAATTCCCAGAACCCACATGATATCTCACAGCTGTCTGTAACTCCTATTCTAGGGGATCCAATGCCCTCATACAGACAGACATGCAGGCAAAACACCAATGTACATGAAGTAAAAATAAATATATATTAAAAAAAGATTTTCTCTAAACAAATTAGCAAGGTTTTTTCTGATTAATAGTCAATGTGGAAGGGCCCAGCTCACTGAAAAGGAGGTCTAAATGGTATAAGAAAACAGGCTGAGAGCTGGGTGTGGTGTCTTATGTCTTTTATCTCAGCACTCAGCAGCAGAGGAAGATGTATCTATGGAGTTTAAGGTCAGCCTGATCTACATTGCCATTGTTCTTGGTTGCCCAGCAAAAGTAGATGGTGAGACCCTATTGCTGAAGACACAATATACTTTGCTTGAAGGACAAAGAAATCAAACTGGCATTGACTTAAAACTTCCTTCTGCTCACTAGATTTCGCAGTTCCAGGAGCTACATGAACTGCAGGGAGAAAAAGCCACCCGAGGCATCCCTGAAGCCAACCCTGCATGCTGGAAGCCAGCCTGCCAAGATGTGCCTGCCTGATGCTGCCATAGCAGCATGACGTTCACGTTCACACAATCCACACAGTTGTTTGTGGATTGGATTTAAGGCCTGTTCCACAGGATGGAATTCTCAAGCCTGGTGCTGTAAACCTGGTCAAAAACCCTGGCTCAGGAGGTCACAGGCTCTGTGAGGAACCTACTACTATTGTTTTTTCTTAAATGGATATGTTTGTCAAGCCACTGTCTAAGTATTTATGAGCATGCCCACAGATCACCGCTTCCCTCAACCTTGGCTAGGGAAGCATCTTTCTGCAGCAGTCAGCAGTCAATGCAGAGACTAATAACTGCTCAAAGTAATAAGTGATGCTGAGTGGTCAGTGTTTTCTTTATTATTATTTTAATAATTTGCTTGGTTGGTTTGGTTTGATTTTTGGAGACAGTATCTGGCTAAGTAGGCCTGGCTGTCCTGGAACTTGCTGTGATGGGATAAAAGGTGCACACCACCACATGCCTGCACGTGAAGGTCACAGACAAATTGAGTCAGCTTTCTTGCTACCCTTTGGGTTTGGGGGCTCAAATTCAGGTTGTCTGTCTTTCAGTCTTGGTAACAAGCATCTTTACCTGCCAAGCTGTCTTACCAACCGAGAGACTTTCTTTTAAGACCTAGATAGACTAATAAATCCCCCTTTGCTCTGGGACAGGGACTGAGGCCCAGTAGCCATACTTTTCCTTCTCTCTCTTTCCTTAGCTCTAAGCAGTCTGGGACCCAGAGCTGGCTCTACCCTGGGTGTGGCGAGCTGTGTCCTTAAGAGCAGGTAGGGAGGGCTGGCTACAGGCACATAAGAGATAAGACCAGTTCCCTCCAGACTGCTGGTGTGTGGCCCAGGGCGGAGCCCCTAGGTTTAAAGAGCGGAACCCATCCAGGCTGTCCTCAGACTTGATCTCTGCCCCCGAACCACTCATCTAGCTGGGGTGATCTCCAGGGTGAGTAGATATCTGCTAGGACTTGGAAGGGGGCGGCCAAGAGACTATCAGAAGAAGGGGTGGTGGGTGTTGACCCCAAGACTCTGAGGGGTGAACAACTGTTTGTGGTTTGTGAAGACAGAAATGGCTTCCTGGAACCTGGAGACTACTGACTTTGAGACTACACAGTAGAGGGTTTGGGACAGAAGAAGTAAGAGCCAACCTTTAGCAGAAGTTCATGTGAAAGGAAAATGAGACACAACCAGAAACTGTGCGTTGAGGGACAGGGCAGGAAAAAGTGACAATAGGGAAGAGAAATCCAGCTTCAGAGACCTGTCCTATGAACTCCCGTGTCCACTCGATTTCACCCAGTTTTCCATCTTAGGGCAAAAGGCCCAAGTGATTTGAAGCTATTGTAGCAAGATTGCAGGGCTAGGGTTATTTATTTATTTGTTTGTTTGTTTATTTATTTATTTATTTTTAGGATTGATGTATCATAGCTCATTTAAATTCATCTGCATAATTTACAAGCTTGCAGTTATTTACAGGACATTGAAACATAGAGAAGATACCTACTAAGTCACATAGCTGTCAAGTGCATGATAGAGGACTGAGCCCAGCCAGATGGCACTGAATCTGTGATCTCCTTAGAAGACCAGAGCTAGGATAGTAGATGGTAACAGTGGCTTCACGACTGAACCCTTGACACTAGCCTACAGCTACCATTACTCAGCAAGAAAGGATGGGGCTTTTTCTACAAAACTGGGCCATACAAGGCTTGTGACATTCAATATGTGAATAGGGAGGGCCCTGGGTAGAACTTACTCACGGGAGAAAGGGGCTATGTCTCACAGGGAAGCAGGCATTCTGCTATGCTCTTGAGTGGAATTTGGGGCTGCCTGGAACAGAGTACCTGGCTCCAGAAGAGGAGGCCTGGAAATGTGCCTTCCAGCCCTGGTGCTGGATTTTTAGACAATCTATAATTCAGCCTGGGTACCCCAGGCCAGGATCTTTTCAAATAGAATAGCCGGGGCCTGGTTAGGAAAGCCTAGCTCCTGCTATGGCTTAGGCCAGCAATCTAACTTGGAGTGCTGAGTTTTCTTTCTGAATTCCCTTTTGCTCCCATCTCCTATGAGATGATAGTATCTTTGGAGAGCTCTTCACAAAGGCCTCCATGGAACACTTAACTAGAGTTAACCAATCACACACCAAGGCAGTCACTAGCGCCATCCGTAGGTGTGAAAGTGTGTGAGATTCACACCTGATTCCCACAGCAGTTCTGCTTCCTACGGACAAAGTGAGCTATGGCAGGTCACAGAGCAGATCACAGAGCCAACCGCACATACCTCTCCCCATCTCATCCAGCAGCCTGCAGCCTTGCCCTGTGTCCTGACATGAAAGGAATGACCCGCGCCTTTCTCCTGGTGCTAGCAGGTGAGTTCTCCACCCACCAAGGCAGTGGAGACCAGACAGCCTCTCCTCAGGGGATGACTGCTGTCCAATAAATGTGTCTCCATCTAAACAGTCCGCTGCATGCAACACTAGCACAGGTTGAATGAGGGCATTGAAAAGATTGCTTAATGGCTACTGAGACAGTGGGCTGTGGAAAATGGACAATGCACATCACAGTGTGCCCTTTCTTAAAGAGGCAAAGAGCCGGGCTCTAGCCAAAGCTTCTGGGGCAAGGTTAAAAAGGAACCAAGCATCCTGTTCAGAGCACAAGAAACGACAGCAGGGCGAGAAACAGCAAGGGCAGTGAACGGGAGCCCAGGGCCTCAGAATTGCAAAAGCCCAGACCTGGTAGTCCCCAGTCACTTCCCAGACCCCTTTAAATAGTTGGCATTGCAGGCACCAGTGTGAGAAATGCCTTCCTCGCTTCTCCCACCCAGGTCTGCCTGCCTTGGAAGCCAGTGACCCAATCGGTGAGTACTGCGCCCTGGCAAGTGACATCTGCCATGTGCCTGCATTTCCCTTCTAAGACCCCATATCCTGGTCTCCTAATCCTGGTGTTTACTTGCTTACTTATTGACTGTTTTTCACTTACTGTAGATAAAGACAGTCCCTTCTATTATGGTAAGAGCGGGCACCAATCCTCACCCTACCCACCCCATCCCATTCAACCCTTGTCTACTTTGGACCTCTTTGCCAGGCCAGCTGAGGATGGTACATAACCCTGTACAGACAAGGTGGGGTGGGACATCAAACCTCGCCTTTGTGAGAGCTCAGTGCAGTGAGAGGAGCTGGGGTTGGAAGCCTGGGACTGAGCTCAGTGAACCTTGTCCTCCTTTCTCAAGGTTCTTCCCACTTGCCTCTCATGGCACTTGTCCCCATGAGATACTATCACATGATGTACCTATTAATCCACTTGGTCTCTTTTTCACTGCCTGGGATGTGAGTGATGTGGGTAAGCACTCATTTACAGGGCCAGTGGGCACTTGTAAAGGCCTCTCAACAAAGCCACGCCCATGGCCCCGTAAATACCTTTTGAATGAATGTGTGATGGTACTGTGAGACTCTCTTGTTTCCTCTTTGCACACCACTCCCCACCCCCCACCAAGACTGGGAGAGCCTGCAACTGGGTGGAATGATCTTTGGAGGGCTCCTGTGCATCGCTGGAATAGCCACGGCCCTGAGTAAGTACAGGGATTGGCAGAGTGGTGAAAGGGAGGTTGGTTCAGCCTCATCAGGCTGGCTAACTGTTCTTCCTCTCACAGGTGGCAAATGCAAATGTAGGCGCAGTCATAAGCCCAGGTGAGACAGTGACCCAGTGGTACCCTCTTTTCAGAGTATACCTGTGTGGTGAAGTTCTAGGACCTACAGAGTCATGATAGCTCCTGCCTATTCACTGGGCTCAATGCAGGATTTGTTTGAATAAACCCTCAAAGGCCCCAATCCAAGGAAAATCCGTGGAATAAGAGTATTAAGTGTACGCCCCCAGCTGGGCATGGCAGTACACACCTGTAATCCCAGTGCTTGGTAAAAGTAGGAATTAGCAAATCAGGATTATCCTTGCTTACATACCAAACTCAAGTGGCCCTGAGCTTCATGAGACCCTGTCTCAAATGCTCAAATATATTATGCCTTTACAGGAGACAACAGATCTTGATGCTAACCTGAGCACTTCCTTTCTCTAGTTCCTTACCTGGGAAAGCCACCCCACTCATGACTCCAGGTGAACTGGGCCCCTTTGGGATGCAGGGATGAAGTGCAGGGGAGCCCAGGGAATAGGTCGCTTAGAACTGACCCAACTCTCTGCAGGCTCTTCGAGTAGCTGATGAACAACAAGACCAAGATGGAGGCAGACAGTTCTCGCCAGCTTCTGCTGTTCTTCACTCTGGGGACCTTTCCTTTCAGGATGGCCTCTAACACATACTGTTAAGTCTTCTGTGACAGGGAAGGGTAATTAAAACTTATTTTATATTAAAATGGTCTTGCCACTCCCTTCTGCAATCTTGTGACCCCTCTGTGGATGTGGTGGGGAAGGTAGGGGGTTGGAAGTGTCTGATGAGTTGTGTGCGGCCCCCCCCCCCGTATCTTTTTATCTGGAAGCCCACACCCACCAAGATTCTTTGAGAACCTAATTTATTGTGGACCTCAAACATTCTCCCATGCTTCTTGCTCCAGCAAGCTCCACAGGACTGAGTGCAACATGGAAAATAACACAATGTTTTATCCAAAGATGACACTTTTCACTTCCTGCCTAGAGACCCCAACTGTCAATCACCTCCACATGAAACCTACAATGATCCTCACTGGCTCAGCCACTCTGTGACCCCATCTCACTCCATGAGGCTCCACAGACCCATCGACCCTGGTAAAATCTTGTATAGCCCTCAGACCAGCATGTGGGAAACTTCCAATGTCCTGAAACACAAGTGTACCCAGCAGTTTCGAGATGGTAAGGAGGATTAAGCAGCAAAAGCCGGAACTCAGGGATCTCTTGGTAGCGGAAGAACCTCTTGGGTGTGGTAGAATGCTGAGTGTTGGCCCAGAATCGGACCACAAGAGGTATCTGAATTGATCTGAAAATGAGAAAAATTTGCTAGTGTTGATCTGGACGAGTTAACAGGGTATACAAATGTCCAGAGAGCAAAATGACCTGGATATGCTTCTGGAAGAAGTATGACTGTAATGCAGGTAAGATCCCAGAGCAGTAGCAGTTTCACAGAAGGAAACTGCCCAAGAGCTGGAGCCCAAAACCCAGCAGCGCCCCCCTGGGGCACTTTGTGGTAGTCTTCCATCCTGGTGGAGAGACAAGTAACAAATTGTCTCTCAAGGCACAGGAACCTCTGCTGTGCACAATTAGTGGAACTGGTTCTTCACAGGTACACCTTTGACCCAAGATGTAGATTCATTTTCCAGCCACACATCTGGGTTAGAAAGGCTACCAGACAGATCCCACACATGAAGGTGCTTTTTCTGTGTATACTTTGTAGTAGAAGAAGACTCACGTAATTCCTGTTGCTTTCTGGGTGCAAACACTGAACATAGTCCAGGCTAGCCAACTTTCTGTAAGAATACAAGCTGGGCATTAATGGTGCACGTCTTTAGTCCCAGCACTCGGGAGGTAGAGGCAGATGGATCTCTCTGAGTTTGAGGCCAGCCTGGTTTACAGAGCTAGTTCCTGGACAGGCTCCAAAACAATACAGAGAAACCCTGTCTGAGAAAACAAACAAAAAAGGACAGAAGATGAAATTGACACTCCATTCTGTTCCTCTTGCCTTCAGCTCCCAAGTGCAGGTTTTAAGTGTGAACAATCACAATGGTTTATGTGGTGTTGGGGCTCAAAACCAGTGCCTCATGAATGCTAGGAAAGGGCTCTACCAACTGAGCAATAGTACCCCAACCTAAAATGTTTCTCAGAATTGAGATTTCCCTGTTCCCCACTCCTTACCTATTAGTGATCATTGAGGTGCAACACCTCAGTGTCCTATATATGGCTCTTGTCACCATGAGTCAGTATTACAAAACCACAAACTTACTCTGTAGTGCAGAAGTATATGAACTTTTTCTCCTCTGAGAAGTGGTTCCAGTTGAGAACTGCCTCCCCCACCCCCCAGGCTTCCCTGAGTGGTTAGTGGAAGCACTTCAGAGTGCCTATTCACTGGAGTACTGCCCCTGGCAGGAGACTTCACAATTCCTTTCCACCCTCTTCACTCAGCCTAGGAGACTGGGGGAGAAGAGTACCCCAATCCCAGTAGTTCTAAACCTATAGGTCACAACCACTTTGGAGTCAAACAGCCCTTTCATAGGGATCACCTAAGACCATCAGAAAACACAAATATTTCTATTAGGATTCATAACAGCAGATTAGTTATGGAATAGCAACAAAAATATTTTATGGGGGGGGGGTCACCACAAGAACGATAAAAGGGTTGCAGCATTCAGAAGGTTAATAAACACTGCAATAACCCTCCTGAGATACATAAAAGTTCTCACATGTTAATAAGTACAGCCTCACACTCAGGGAGTCTTCCTGAAGAACCACTTGCTTTCTGGGGTTTAGACTATCCAGATGGCATAATGGCTATGCCTGCTTTGTGATTATGTCCCTCCTGCTTATCTGTCATGTTGAAGATTGACATTTTCCATTGTTTTCTCGAGGCAAGGTTCAAGTAGTCTAGCTTAACCTTAAAACTCATCTCCCATCTTTGAAACTGCAGAGATCACAGGAAAGTATCACTATATCTGGTTTTCCTGTTCTGGGTATGAAACCCAGTGCCTTGTATATGCTATGCAGGTGTTGTACAACTGAGAAACTCCTAGTGTTTGAGAAAGAAAGCTATGCAGGTGTTCCCTAGCCTGATACTCAAGACTAGAATACCTAATGTACAACAAATGAATAGAAGAGTGATGGACAGGCATCTGTAATTTCAGCACCTGGGAAGTAGACAAAGGAATCACAGCAAGTTTGAGGCCAGTCATTTCAGGTCAGTCAGACCTGCATAAAATCAAAAACAAGAGGGTGGGGATAATGGCTCATTTGGTAAAGACCAGAGTTCAAAAGCCAGTCACAGAAAAGCACACCTGTAAACCTAGGCATGGAGGCAGGGGTTGAGTAGGTGGACACTTGGAGCTCACTGGCTAGTCAGCTTAGCTGAATTGTTAAAACTCCAGGTTCAGTGAGAGATTCTGACCCAAAAAGTAGACAGCAATCAAGACAATGATTTGACATACATGCGAAATTCATGTACCTGCACTCACGTGTATACCACATAAACACATGATATACATTTAGGACGGGGAAAAATGTCTCAGTAGGTTAAAGATGCCCACCACCAAGTCTGCTATTAAGTTTGATCCCCAGGACCACATGGTGTACAGGAAAAATATGTCAAGCTTCTTCTGACTTGACTGTAACAAGGCCTGCCAAGGATCTGAGTTTGATAAGTGGACTACAAGAGCTGCACAGCAATTCCCTTACAATTGAAACATCCCCTCCAAGGAGACACAGGCACAAGGGAAGTAAACAAGCTGTACATATGTGTAAAAGCAGGGTTCTCTCCAGGGTTATAGACTGGGTAAATAATTGCTGGAGAGACTGGCCAGCCAAGTCCTCCACCAGCCTGCAAATCATGGAGAGATTCCAGGTTGCAGCTTTTACGGAGTCACGAAGTTGGGATGGATTGGATTTGAGTCATCCCTATTCCTAACACCAACCTGTTACCTATAATACCTGCTTCACCAACTTGCACTTTGTTGTTATAGTAACTTTGGTCTGTAGTGGCTTCCCTAACAGGGATGAGTAGATATTTTGTAAAGTAGATGTCTTTCACACAAAAACAACTTTACAAGTTGGCCGTTGATCAGGTAAGGTTAAAGTCCTTTCTTAGCTATCACCTGTCTAAGGACCAAGTCCCGGTCCCAAGATGACAAGCAAACTCTCAGGTACAAAGGAATCATCATTTGGTTTATCAAACCTTTAACCACCATTATTTCTAGATAATGGGTCAGAAATTTACCTGATCAGCTGTAATGTTCAAGTTTCCTATAGTGGGTACAATGCTGACAGTTATCTTATTTCTTCTTTTCTGAAGTCAGGGTCTCATGTAGCCTTGGCAGGCTTAAAAACCAAAGAAAATAGGTAATAAAACAAATAAATAAGCAAGGTTTCCCAATTAAAAAGTAGTTCTAAAAGGACAAATAGGCAGGAATGGTGGCTCATCCCTATAATCTAAGTCACCTTCCTCAAAGGCTGAGGTTCCAGGTTAGTCTGGGATAGAGTTGAGACCCTGTGTCAGAAAAAAAGGGAGGCAGAGGCAGATGGATCTCTTACAGCTTGGTCTGTAAGAGTGAGTTCCAGGACAGGCTCCAAAGCAATACAGAGAAACCCTATCTGGAAAAGCCAGATAAAAAATATATATAAAAAAAAAAAAAAAAGGGGGGGGGGAGGGAAGCACTGAAAGATGCTCCTAAGTGTTAAACCAATTTCCTATGATAAACAAACACACACACACACACACACACACACACACACACACACACACACATATAAAGCATGTATGTGAAATATAGACCTGGAAACGTGGTAAAAACCCTTGGCCCCACCTGTAAACATAAAGACCCAAGTTTAACCTTAACCATATAAAAACCAGATCTAGGATGAAATTATAAAGCTAACTACATAGATGAAAGGTGGAGACAG